CTACCAGAAGACTGCATTTTGTCAGCGTCTTCACCAAACAGGACTATGTCATCCGCGTATTCTAAGTCGATAAGTGGACCTGCTGGAAGATCAACACCCGAGAATTCAGTAGACGAGAATGTTATTTCCATCAATAAGTCTATGATGAAGTTAAACAAAAATGGAGAAAGTGGACAGCCTTGACGGACACCACTTGAGGTTGCAAAAGCAGATGAAAGTTCGCCATAAGCTCTGACTCGACTAGTAGTGTTCGAGTAAAGAGCCTTCACAAGGTTTATGTACTTCTGTGGTGCGCTTTTCAATGACAGACACTGCTACAGAACCTCTTGGTCTACCGAGTCAAATGCTGCTTTTAAATCAAGAAAGACCACCATTGTCGGACGCCGATAAGTATGTCTGTGTTCTAGAACCTGACGAATGGTGAATATGTGGTCGATGCAGCCAGGACCAGGTCTGAAGCCAGCTTGATTCTCTCGTGTTTGCAGTTCACGAGTCCTAGTTAAGCGTCTGATAATTATCGAGGCTAGTATTTTAGATACTATATTAGTTAAACTAATCCCTCTGTGGTTGTTACAGGATGATTTTGACCCTCTCTTATATATTGGGACGATAAGTGATTGTGACCAGTCAGATGGGATAACGTCTAACTCCCAGATCTTAGTTAAAATATTCGTCAACCTAATCGCTAAACTTGGACCACCATCCTTAAAGACCTCTGGAGACAATCCATCTGCCCTTCCTCGTTTCAGATTAACTATAGCCTTTTGAACTTCTGCTAGAGTTGGGGAACCTACTTCAATGTTCCATTCACACTGTCTGGGAATGGAGGGTAGTTGTAGAGTAGCTGAAGGCCAGTTGAACTGTTCTCTGAAATGTTCCGCCCATCGTTCTAAACGTCTGGACTGGGAGCAGATGAGTATCGTCTTTTTCCGAAATAGTCTGACTTACACTTGACTTATTAATTCCAGTTTCTTTTATTAGTCTGTAGAGCTGTCTTGTGTTCCCTATAGTCGCCACCTTTTCCATCTCTTTTGCTTTCGTTGCCCACCACTGCTCATGGTCGTTTCTTAGACTTTTGGTTAACCTAGATCTAATTTGTTGTTGCTCTTCATCGTGTTCAGAGCCTGATGGGATGAGTTTACGAGAATCCATCAGTGCAATAGACCTTGAGGAAATCCATTGGTTCTTTGTAACCCCGTGGTTTAAACCACTGATAGATGTCACTGTTGTTTCCACAGCTGTTTGTAAATCTTTCCAAGCGGCATCTGGGTCAGCCTCGTTGTTCTCGATGATTGTTGAGGCTAGTATTTTAGGTGCTATTTTAGTCAAACTAATCCCTCTATGATTACCACAGGATGATTTTGACCCCTTCTTTAATATTGGGGCAGATGGGATTCATGGGATGGATATTCAAAACACCAACTTTACTTACAGCTAAAATGTCAACAAGTTTCATACCTTTCATTTTTTTCTAATAAAACAAGAACAGTATAAATGAAATAGTAGGAATTTGTTCATTATGTGGATTCTTTTTAAAAGTTTGAAGTCTAAAACATCTATATCAATTTTTCGAAAAACGGTATATGGACACTATTAATGTTCATACAAAAAGTATCAATAAAAAACAATAATATAGAAATAGGAAAATTGAAAGTAAAAGATGTAAAAGCAGTTGAATGGGTCATTTGTTATACTGTTGAAACGGACAATAGTGACTATAAATAATACACCTTTACTAGGAAACGATTATGTATTGTTAAAACTACTAAAAATCAGGTTATTGATAACTTAACGAGCACTAATCAAAATACGATACATGCAGTGCATCTGTTAATGGTTTAAACTATTTCTTCTAGTTAGCCTTTTTGCTTCATATACACAAGGAGTTGCATTGATGCTATCCAAACAAACACAGAATGCACTTATAGGATGGGAACCTCATGGACCCAGGATCCTCAAAACCTTCTTCAAAACAAAGAACGAAAGAATCACGATGAATGTTATCAAATGTTATACACTCGCCAATGATAACAATGACGACGATAAAGATCAGTTCTACGAGAGGCTTCAATCGATCATAGTGAAGGGCTCAGAAAAGGACCTGACCATACTGACGGAAGGCCTAAACGCCAAAGTTGGAATGGACAACACCAGGTACGGAAATATCATGGGACGACATGGACTGAGAGAGAGAAACGAGAATGGTGAGAGATTTGCAAACCTATGTGCATTCAACAAATTGGTCATTGGTGGCACAAGGTTCTCACAAAAACGCATGCACAAAGCCACACGGATTTCACCGGGTCACACTACACAGAACCAAATCGACCATATCTGCACCAATAAAAAGTTAAGAAGGACGTGAGAACCAAGAAAGGAGCTGATATATCATCAGACCATCATTTGCTGGTCGCCAAGATGAAACCGAAACTCAAAAAGCACTGGACAGCGGAGTGGACAACACTACAAAAGTTTAATACGACGTTTCTTCGGGATACCGACAGACTCAACAAATTCAAGATGTCCCTCAGCAATAGGTTCCAAGCCTTTCACGGTCTAATTAATGGAGAGGGAACTATCATAGCGAACAGCTGGAAGGGGGTCAAGGAGGCAGCCACTTCAAAATGTCATGAGGTTCTGGGCCACAAGAAGCACCATCACAGGTAATGGATCACAGTTAATACACTGGATAAGATTCAAGAAAGGAGGAACAAGAAAGCAGCAATCAATATCAGCCGAACAAGAGCAGAGAAAGCCAAGTCACAAGCTGAATACACAAAAGGAAACAAGCAAGTAAAGAGAAGCATCAGAGCCGACAAACGTAAATATATGGAGGATTTAGCAATGACGGCGGAAAAGGGTGCAAGAGAAGGAAACATGAGACGATTGTATGACACAACAACGAAACTCGCTGGAAATTATCGTAAACCAGAACGACCAGTGAAAAGCAGGGAAGGTAATATAATCACCAACATTGAAGAACAGTGAAACACGTGAGTAGAGCACTTTAAGGAACACTTGAGTCGACCAGCCCCACTGAACCCGCCCAACATCGATGCAACACCTACGGACTCCCCAATCAATGTTGGCCCACCAACAATTGAGACCAACATGACGATCAGACAAATCGAGAGCGGAAAAGTAGCGGTACCAGACAGACGTGGCAGTAACTGCAAGTATGCTTCACGTTCTGTTCAACAAGATTTGGGAGGAAGAACAAGTGTCGATGGACTGGAAAGAAGGGCACCTTATCAAGATGCCAACGGAAGGAAATCTGTACAAGTGTGAAAACTACAGAGGCATCACACTACTGTCAGTACCAGGAAAGGTTTCTAACAGGGTGTTGCCAAACCAAATGAAAGACTCAGTAGACACCCAACTTCGAGATCGACAGGCTGGATTTCGTACGGATCGATCGTGCACAGACCAAATCGTGACACTACTGATCATCGTTGAGTCAGGCAAGGTTGCTTACTCTCACCCTTTCTCTTTCTCCTGGTGATCGACTGGATTATGAAGACGTCAACATTTAGGGGAATCATGGGATATAGTGAACAACTAGGATACAGCTGGACTGTTTAGACTTCGCAGATGGTCTGGCTCTTATATCGCACACTCAACAACAAAAAAACAGGAGGACACGACCAGTGCAACAGCAGTAGGTCTCAACATACACAAAGGGAAAAGCAAGATTCTCCGATACAACACAGCATGCAACAATCGAATCACACTTGACGGAGAAGATTTGGAAGATGTAAAAACCTTTACATATTTGGGCAGCATCATTGATGAACAGGGTGGATCTGATGCAGATGTGAAGGTGCGGATCGGCAAAGCAAGAGCAGCATATTTACAACAGAGGAACATCTGGAACTCAAAGCAACTGTCAACCAACACCAAGTTCAGAATTTTCAATACAAATATCGAGACAGTTCTACTGTATGGGGCGGAAACTTAGAGAACTACGAAAGCCATCATCCAGAAGATACAAGTGTTTATTAACAGTTGTCTACGCAAAATACTTCAGATCCGTTGGCCGGACACTATTAGCAACAACGTACTGTGGGAGAGAACAAACCAGATCCCAGAGGAGGAGGAAATCATGAAGAAGCGCTGGAAGTGGATAGGACACTGTTAGGTAGTCGGAAAAATAGACCAATAATTATGGTGTTAAGTCCAATGGTGTCCTTGGACCTTAAATGTACATTTCCCATTGGTCGATATTTATTTAACGTGTTATTTTCCTGTTGGCCAATATTGTACAATGTTATTTTCTACTTTGTGGTACGATGTGGTTTGTTTGCTTGGTATATAAATAGTGTATGTTTGAAATATAATGATTCATAACTCCGAGGCTGTGACTTTTGTTCTTGACTCAACTGGCTGGGGACAGACAGCGAGGCAGGGCCAATCAGGGCACTAGGTCATCCTTACAAGTTTACGGGTCACTGTCACAGAAGCGATCGATATAACGCTGCGTATCCAAACCCTGCAGTACTCACACGTTACAACAGACACACATTGAGGAAAGCACCCAACTGCGTCACAAGACGCCCTCACATGGAATCCTCAAGGCCAAAGGAAAAGAGGAAGACCAAAGAACACATTACGCCGGGAAATGGAAATAGACATGAGAAAAATGAACAAGAATTGGATGGAACTAGAAAGGAAGGTACAGGACAGAGTGAGTTGGATGGTGCTGGTCGGTGGCCTATGCTCCATTGGGGGTAACAGACGTAACTAAGTATCTGTTAGTTGTATATATATAGTCATCAGCCTAACTATTAATACAACTTAGTAATAATAAACCCCTCCCTACATTAACGAAGTAGGAAAATATATTAAGGAAAACAGTTCAACATTTTTTTATCTAAACACTATTTGCAAAAATAACTTTGTAAATAAAATTTAAAGTTTATGTAAGCCCAAATATTAAAAGCATTTTGCAATCAGGCAGAAAACAATTAAGTTGTGTGGAAATTTCACAGCAAGAAACTAACCTCTCTCAGATTCAGAATTCCCATCGTTAGAATCTTTCACGGCCGATCTTACCGCTCGTAACTAAAAGTCAGATATGACTGGTTTAAGTATAAATTTAAGCATTAAGACGTAGTTAAATAATCCATACAGTCATAAAATCCCATTATTTGAATAATAACGTGTTATCAGATAACAATAATAACAAGTAGTTTACTTTCTACATGATCAAGCGAAGTTTACAACTGAGAACAAACTTCTATGCATATTTTATGGAAATTAATTTACATGACTCAAGGAAATGATAGTAAAACATAATGTGGAGTAACTACAGTCAAATAGACTAAACACTAAACATCGGAACACCATAAAAGACAAACCAGATTAGATTATAAGTACAGCGAATGCAAAAAGTGGCCATTAGCATAGTTTCCACTGGTTATAAATATAAATATAACAGTACTAAAACCTTTAACCGAAAGTGAATATATCGCGATCTAGCACATATATTTTCATTTGTACAATATTTTACCCCTATAAAAGATTTAACAGTAGACAACAAAATGGTACGAAATGTTTGAGACACTTGGTCATGTTTATTGAAGTACCAAAAAAGTCCTATCCTAATCATTGATTTGTTTTGTTCTCATATAGTCTATGTTGCTACTTCTAATACTATACAAGTATAAAGATGTTCAGTATTTCTCTAACATTTCAAACGACTTAATGGTTGCTTTGAACCAATTTTTGGTAACGCATTAAATAACTAAGTATGCCACTTTAGAAGCCTCATACATAAATGGGATAAACAAATTTTCTAATGATATTGAAAAACTGTACAGGTAAAATGGGATGCATCTCAGAGATAAACCTACAGGATTTTAGGTTAGTAAGGTTAATAAACTTTCCGTTTAATCCAACTTCAGAAGTTTGACATAATCCAGTTCGGAAATCATTTGACGCTTGACAACATCGATATTTGCACATGTAAATGTGCACTACTTGCAGAATTTACTATAGTTCCTGACGTATCGTTAACCTATATATTGCGGTTGAAATAACTAGTTGGCTGTAGCAGCGAAGCTTTTAGTCATAGCTGACCAAGATTTTCAAGACTATGACTAATAAAAATGTCGTAAATTAAGTGACCGAGTATGCGTTATCAAGTCTTTTTCCATTTGAAATGTTTGTTTTTGCTAGAGGTAACTTGTAATTTAATGATCCATTACAATTCTATGGAAATAATAAGATCCAGGTACAAGAAACTAATGTGATATAAAAATTTACCTTTCCAGGTGATTTCACATTTTCAAAAGCAAATGTTGACAGTAACTCAACGTAAGTCAAGAAGCAAAACCCCTTCCATTTCCAGTTACAAAAAGTAGTTTTTAACCTTTATATCTACATACAAGACGGTACGTATGTAACCCACAAGGGATTAATTCTTAGTTTTATGGATGACAACTGTCAAGTAGATAAAAAAGACTCTAGGTTAATTGACAATAACAGATGAATTATATTTGAAGTAATTAGTCAGAAATCGTATTGCAATGAATCACTCAAGGACAGTAGCCGTTATGCTTCAATACTTTTTAAAACTCTCTTGGTTTAATTCTATATTCTGCAGTTCAAAAATCAATTGATAGCGTTAACGTTTGTCTGATCATTCTCTTGTACTTTAGTCAGTAATCGCAGTGTTACATTTCCAAACAAGTCAACAAAATATAAACTAATTAAAAACTAACTTGTTCAAGTTGCTGCTGTTGATGAACAAGTTGGAACCTATACACTTCGGAGAGGTAGTGTTCAAAATATTGGTCCTGCATTTCGGTTACCAATGCCTTTTGCTAAAAATAATAATGAGACTGAAAATAGGATGCATTTACTTTTTCTAAATCTTTAGGAAACTGTTCCCGAGCATATTGTTCATATAGATCTTTAGTTTGCTGCACTAGAGCCGATTTAATTTCAATCCTAAAACGCTAATACAAAAATGAAAATGCGCCATTACTCTTTCTGACCTAAATCTCCTTGATCATCGCAAAATCCTTCTTTTATGCGAACAGAGGTTTTACGGATTTCATTTGAATCAGGTGGATCATTTAAGGAGAGGGTTTCAAATTTATCCGGATTAGATACATTTGTCTCGAATTCTCCCATTATTTAGAAATTATTCATAATCTGTTAACAAACTGAAACAGAGTGTAAAAGATCATTAATTATACTAGATTAACGCAATCGCATAAAACCATATACTGTTTAAATACTAAACGTACACATCTAAATTTTCATCATACCAAAAAACACAACCAGCTTCTTATCACGACAAAACAAAATACAATCGATTCCTTAGTAAATTAGAATTAGAATATAAAGCACAGCTAAATTCACTTAAACTGTCAATAATGAAATGAATTTTATAGATAAATGATCGGCTGTGAACCATGTTTAGGAAATTTTGAGAAATGAAATTAAACCTGCAATTTTAAATAAGCAATAGTGTTTTTAATCGTCTAACGAAGTGTCCTTAAGTGTCCATTTCTGGAACAAAACTCATCAAATTGTGTAGGCCAAAACGGCAACTACTCATCGTAATCAACCTCAAGTATTCATTTTCACTCCAACATGAACTTTAAACCCCTTATTTTTATTAAGTTTGGTTCAGATATTAACTGTTTGCACAAACATTTACAGATTTCTATACTCACTTTAATAAGTAACCAAATCGAATGCGTTCAAAATATATCGACATTAGTCTCAAAAACTACTAACTACGCTTTCTAGCAGACCGACCATAGCCTATTTATTGTACGAACCGCAAGACTAAGGCTTCATCAGATCCTAATCTTCGTATTTTGGAGAAAATTTCGTCCATTTTGAAGAAATGCCACACAAAAACACAAAACATCTCAAACTCCGGGAAAATCTCAATAACTGCTGAAAGGATTTTGGACTTTCCCCAATATTTCCCCAAACTTTGGCAAAACTATGGACTCTCATTAATTTTAAGAACCTCTAACTTTACTCAAAACTCACCAAAATCGGAAGATAGGGGCTAGACGAGAATGGCACAAAAGTTGCTTAAATTTCTTTCTAACCCAAGAGTTTGCCTATCATATTGGTAGTTGACGACGACAGTATACAAAATAGTTATATATCGATAAGCAACTAAGACGGAAACAATTAAACCTCAAAAATAATATTTAAGCATATGCTTGCAATAAGAAATGTACGGATCACTAGAGGCGATTAAAAACAGCTTGAAAAAAAGGTAAGTACTTTGGTCTGTTTATCACAAAAACACTGGTTCTTTACCGATCCAAACAGAAAATCCAACAACTGAGATAATACAAACGTAGCAGAAAACTAAGTAACGCTAAAACCAGCAAACCCGCTCGTATAAAATACGTACATTACATTAGTAATAAATAAGTAAGAAAATGATAAAAATAGCTTCTAGATAACTGATTATCATGTCTTACATAGTAAAATTCTAAAACTTTGCAATAAAAATCACGGCATGTCGTAACATATTGAATATTTCCAAAATGTATCAGTTTTATCGGAAATAAAGTAATAATTCTCTTTGTGACTGTTGATTAACCTGACAAAATGGTTATTTTGTAAATAGTTTTTGATTGTGGTAAATAAATCCCTAAAATAAATAGCTCTGTAAGCATTCGACATTGGATGCTGACTACATGTTTTATTGAACTCACCTGACTGAAGGCGCTCGGTCATGCATCCGCTTCAGATCACGAGTGGGAACGCCATGCTCAACATCTACTGCAGTCGCTAGCCAGATTAGATCAGACGATTCTCGATATATTGATATCACATCAAATATATCTTCCAATCTTCTCGATTCTGTCTTTTGATTTCGCTTGGTGGGTACGAGTTATATTAGGTGTTATTGGTTAAAGAGTTGTCAAACACTGAATACCTGTGCCATCTTTATGATGTTATTTGTATTTAGTCTGTCGAATTTTCACTGCATGTACATTTATTATTACATGATTGTATGTGTTAAGTATGTGACCTTGAACATACTTTCTTCCGTCGTGTTACATTCATATCACGAAACACGCTGTCACTCACTAACAAATACACTGTTACACACATACCTCTTGTTCTCCACTCGCTCATGATTGTGTTGCCTGAACTCTAAATCAAATACCACCTATATTCATAGATTATAGTCGAAATATATCATATTCTACGTTTGGTTATACAGCTGGGAAGACATCAATTTCACTGGAATATTCAGTAATCTATAATTGTGGATTTTAGTACCAGAATCAATTGGAACACGCACAAACCTGCTGAATTAAGTAACGTCCCTCATTTTTGTTGTGTTTCTAACATATAAGTGATATATATTAATAACACTATTTGTGCTTGATAACTCTGTTATCATTTTTGAGTTCATATGTTATTTGGTCCACCACTATTATCTGGTGAGCCTCGAGTGTGTTATAGTCGTTATATTGCCTACATATTTACTTGACACATTAGTTTATTTTTCACATCATGTACTCTCCAAATAATCTTATCGACATGGATTGTCCCCCAGTGAACACCGTCAACTCATCGCATTCATATGATAGTATTTTAAGCTCAGTTAATGCCATTTCCGAGTTCAGACTACTGGCATACGGTGCGAACAACCCCAGGATCTGGTTCGCGCAAACAGAAACCTTATACTTAGCGAGAGGCATACGCTCCCAGGTGACCATATATGCCTATGTTGTCGGCGCACTTCCCATCGAAATCGCTACGGAAGTCGGAGATTTGATCGACCATGTACCAGAGACTGATCCTTACGACAAAATTAAGGCAACCATAATACAACGTACATCACTCTCTAATGAAAAAAAACTACAGCAACTGCTCACATCATGTGAACTAGGGGACAAGAGACTGTCACAGTCGCTACGACACATGAAACAGCTAGCGGGTTCATTTAAATTAGATGAAGCATTACTTAAACAAATATAGTTCCAATGATTACCATATAACGCGAGACAGATTCTTAATGTGCCGAAAAATTCCGTCAATCTGGAAGACCTAGCAGATATGGCGGACAAGATGCTGGAGATCTACACTGATAGTCATTATGTTAATGCGATACAGACCTCCGGTAAAGAACATACGAACACCACATTTAACATCCAGCAACAGTTAACGCAGTTAGCATCATTACAAGCTACTATCGTGACTATCCATTATCGACCAGCTAGATCCACGACTAGATAAAGATCAGTTTCCAAACAGCGCCCAGATCACCTAAACGAGCAGCTGGAATTTGTTGGTACCATTTGAAGTAGGGTGGAAAAGCGCGGCGTTGTACATAACCGTGCAACTTCACAACAAACAATCGTGAGAACCAGGGAAACGGGCCGGCCAGATAGTAATAGCGGCATCTGTTACTGGCCAACACGCTAGCCGCCTCTTCCATATCAGGGATCGTATTTCCGGCTCAGACTTCTCAGTCGATACAGGAGCAGAAATCAGCATCGCCCATTCCACCTCTCGCGGCGATGACAAACGACAAGTACCAAGTTGTCACTCATCGCGGCTAACGATACGGTCATCAAAACTTATGGAGAGCAATCCCTCATTTTAGACCTCGGACTCCGGAGAAGATTCACATTGGTTTTTATAGTCAAAAACAACACATTCTCTGGGTGGACTTTCGTAGCTCCTATAGTCTATTAGTAGACATGAACAAAAAGAAGCTGACTGACAAAAATACAGGTTTGCAGGTGGACGGTACACTTACCACCGACTACGAAATATATGGTGTACGAATAATGAAACCTATGAACCTTTTCACTGACATCCGGATTAAATACGAGTGCATCACTAAGGCGGATTACCAAAAGAATACACTGTACATCATGTGCAACACCACATTAGCACTACCGGTCCACCCATTTGCGCCAGGGCGCGGAGATTACCACCAGACAAGTTGCAGACGGCTAAGAGGGAATTCGAACACATAATGCAACTTGGAATTATTAGACAACCTAACAGTCCTTGAGCCTCGCCACTGCACATGGTTCTTAAAAAATATCAACACTGGTGTCCTAGTGGTGATTACCGAAGTTTAAGTAACCAAGCTGTCCCTGACAGGTAACCAATTCCACACATACACTATTTTTCATTAAATTTACATGGAAAACGTATTTTCTCGAGACTTGAATTTGTGCGAACATGCCATCAAATTCCGATGGCACCAGAAGACATCGCAAAAACAGCCATCATTACACCTTTTCGTTTGTTTGAGTTTTAAAGTATGCCATTCGGACTGAAAACTGCCTCTCAGACGTTCCAACGATTTAAGGACGTGGTTACCATAGATTTAGATTTTGTATTTACCTATATCGACGATGTTTTGATTGCCAGCTAATCAATCGAAGAGCATGTCCAGCATCTTCAGATCCTTTTCGACCGTTTTAAAAAGTATGGCGTCGTAATCAACCCTTCTAAATGTATATTCGGTGTCTCAGACTTAGTTTCTGGGACATTACATCGACTCTCAAAGCATTAAACCACTTCGAAAGAACGTCGAAGCTATCATCAACTACCCTGAACCAACTTCAGTAAAATCATTACGTCGTTTCCTCGGAACGTGTAATTTTTACCGACGATTTCTACCAAATTGTGCAGACGTGTTACAACCGTTTACAGACTTGCTGAAAAGTGATAAAAAAGGTACGAAGAGAGAAAAGAACGAAATATTCAAGCTACCTTCTGACTCTAAAACGGCATTCGAAAAAGCGAAGTCCATGATTGCTAACGCCACTATGTTACATCTAAATACTGACCCCACGACCCACCTGATTCTGTGTACGGACGCGTCACAAGAAGCCACAGGGTCAGTTTTACAACGGCAAGTAAGCAACACGACTACTCCAATAGCGTTCTTCTCCAAGCGACTGTCACCAACTCAAGAACGTTATAGTAATTTCGAATGGGAGTTACTCGTCATTTATTTAGCTGTCAAACACTTTAATTTCTTATTACAAGTGCGTACTTTCACTATCATCACGGATCACAAGCCTCTGTGTTATTCATTCAACACCTCCTATGATCGACATTCACCTCGAGAAGCACGACAATTGGATTACATCTCTCAACTGACGACAGATATCCAA